GCGCCCCCACATATAGACATATATATATATATATATATATATATATATATATATATATATAATTACTGATAATAATGAGACTATAATTAAAATAACCAACAATTATGAAAATCACAAATGAGACAAGGTATGTGGTTTGAAGTGTAATATCAATGAGTGTAATAATGAAGTGTAATAGTCAGTTGAGATTCATATTGTACAATGTTACAATGCAAAAAAAGTGCATGTTCATCTTTAAAATGTACTAATTTTAAAACCAAGATTACACTTCAAAACTCATATATATATATATATATATATATATGTGTGTGTGTGTGTGTGTGTGTGTGTGTGCATATTGCTTTCTTTTTGACCTTTTATAAGAAATATAACATATATAGGGTTATGAATCAAAGATGAATCTTACTTTTTTGTAAGTATTTTAATGTACATTAATGATCTGTGCATTCATGATCCTTATGTAATTAAAGAATGGTTGTTACAGTTACATAAAAATGGAACAATATTACTATATGCAAAAACACAACCACCAGTGTATAAATCAGAAAAATCAGCATTTACCTGTTTGAGGATGTCCTGAGCGCTACAGGAAAGTCTTCACAGCAGCATGAGATGCTGTTTCAGAGTTCACCGAGTGAAGAAATGAGTTCGTGGAGAGATCAGGCCGTCGCTCTGTATAAGCACTATCATGTGAGGATCTCCTGTTTGCCAGAGCAGAGCTGATGAGCTGAAGGAGCGCAGCGCTTCTGTGTTTCTCTCTCCACAGCAGCTCACGGCTTACATTCAGAGCTCCAGCTGATGTTCAGAAAAAATGTCCACGAAGGGAATTCACATGGAAAGGCTGTGGCTAAATAGCCTCTTTTTAACTCTCTCTCTGCCTGAGGGAATCCTCACACAGCTCTGACAGAGAACACAAGGCCAAAAACTAACACGGCACATTGAGTTTGACAACCGAGAGGCTCTTTAAAGCACTAAACCAACAGCAGGCCACAATCCCAACACAGCATGAATGCAATGAAAGCAAAGCTCTTACCAGAGTGCATGTTTCCCCATTTACACACGCTTCAGATTTAACATTCAACCAGTAAGTTGTCAGGTTGATCAGTAATTATGGAGAATGACTGTAATAGCTTGATTAGTCTGCAGAGCTTAATGACTGACAGGAGTCAGCGTACAGTTTGCCATGAACACATTCCTATTCTTGCTGATAGCAACTTTTCCATGTCTAAAGTAGGATAAAGATGGACTTACTTTGAAACTAATTTTAACTAAGAAATTGCTATTTTACAAATAATTACAAAGGAACTGCATATATATATATATTTTTTTTTTTTTAAATAGCAATTTCTTGTAAAACGTACTCTAGTAATCGGTTTTATTTACAACTGTATAAATCTATCTAGTATATAATATACAGTATGGGTGCCGATTATATGGTAAAATCTGTTATTATATCTACATACACCTCTAAAGTCTCTGTTCTCATGTAAGAGAGAGTCACTGAGGATTACATGGAAATTCCTTCAAAGTAGATTTATAATAATAAGCTCCAACAGTCAAATACCTCAAAAATCCCTTCTATACTTCACCAAATATCCTAAAGTAGGCTACAGCATGACTGAATGACTTCTACATGAGGAAATAATGATTAAAAAAAAAAAGTCTAATTGACGTCTAGTTCGAGTCGATCTTGTTCGGTTCAATTGGATTTTGAGACTTTCGTTCCACCCTTTTAGCCTTGCCCAATCCACACACAGCTCGCGATCCACGCGCAGCTGAGCTGATCCACATATGCACATTTTAATCACTACATGCACAAATCATGATACTTTAATACAAACTATAACATTTGTATTCACAAATATGTCTCTATTTGAACAAAATGCTGCAAATTAATGTAATTCTTAACTCTGCAGACACCGGTTGAAAAGCATTTGTTTCAATGTAGTGAGCACATTTGCGAATTTTTCAAATCGTGTACACATTAATGAATTGCACTGGGCCTTGTTCGTTGGTAGTTGTGTGTGTGGGGGACGTGAAATGCTGTAAACTGCGAAAATGACGTTTCAAAATCCAAATGAACCGAACAAGATCGACTCGAACTAGA